TTGTGGTGAGGGGAAACCCGTGAATTATGTTGCATTATTGTGTCTTAATTTTTTATTTAAGATATGTTTATTTTGTGAATTATAAAAAGTGGTCTCCAAAAAAAATTTTTTTTTGGAAAGAAATTCCTTATTATATTTTTTGAACCAAAGGAATTATGTTCGATTTATTAAAAAGCAAATTTTGTTGAGTATATATATAATTACTTCGAATCGAATTCTTCGGTTTGTAATATTAGTGTCTCCTTTTTTTCAAAGGATGAATATGTTAATGGCGAGTATAGCTCATAGAGTTATAGTATAGCTATCCTCAATCAATCGTTTCCAAAAGAACTATTCATTACAGATGATAAATATTGAGGAAAAAAAAACATAATTTACTAATAAAATATAACTTATAGAACCGTAATGACTCAGGGGATAGAGCGTTCGCCTTCCAATGAGGTGAACCGGGTTCGAATCCCAGCTATGGCCGGTTGATATGAATTCCGCATTCAGCTTGCACCGACCCCAGTGTTGATGTGAAATATCCTCAGTGATAGATTAAAGTCCCCTTGCCGTCATGCTAACCGTGGGAGGTTCTCGTGGCTTTCCTCTCCATGTAATTAGGTTTAAAATTACAAGGCTGCGGAGTTGAACATTAGTAGTCGTAAACCTAAAATTTGGTCAGCTGTTCAACGACACAGTTATAAAATAAAATATTATAACTTATAACAATAGAAGATTTAATTTTACAGTAAACGAAAATAAAAAAAGAAACAAAAAAAATAGAATCAGTATTAAATAATTTTACAGTTAACAAAAATTAAAAAAAAGCTACTTTGCAAAAAAAATTTATAATTAATCATAGATAGATTTATAAGTTTTCATAAATGATGTGATTACAGGATTTGATTGCCTTGTGGGGCTAGTAGTTACAGACCATGTCGACCATTATCTATGAAAAGGTACCCCGACATAGAGTCGATTGACATGGCTGTAACTACTAGCCCCACATTGGTGACCCGGACGTGATGTGAACACGCCTACCTTCGCAGAAACGCCCACTTCGAAATGAACACGCCTATCTTGACTGTAACGCCCACTTCGATCTGAACATGCCTACTTCGATGGATGGTCCACATTGAACAGTTGACTTGCGACTGCGACATAACCACCTCCTCACGCTGTTGCTACTCAGTCTCGATTAAACACAACGTCTGCCGAGATACACTCGATTGCTAAAGGCAACATAGGAGCAACCACGACCGTGAACTTAATGCAGCTCTCACGAACAGCAAAAATTACGGTGATCTTAATACAGCTCTCCCGGCTTTTCACAAAACAGCAATAACTCAACTAGTAGTATCAGTTCATCGAATTCTATCACAGTTATAATTCTGGTGGGGGAGTACTGTAGCTTATCTACCACTACAAAAATACAATTCCAATTCTCTAGTATATAAGATATGTTAACTCGATTCTATGGTGGGGTACCTTTTCATAGATGACGGTTGACATGGTCTGTAACTACTAGCCCCACAGCCTAAATGCTATCAAAATCAGTTTTAGTAAACATACATTAAAAGAAGAAAAATTGAAAAGTTATTTTATTACAATAGAATCTGGATCGATCGTTTCTCGGGGTTAATCCCGTGCGAACGATAGATACGGGCGAAAAATGAATCAATTTCAAATACCAAATAATTCGTTGTAAATGTATGAAAATTCATAACTGTACAATAAGTATAAAAACATTTATTTGAAAAAATTGTGTACTTCTTGCAAAAATATTTACGATGCAGAAGAAGGAGAAATAAATCTATGTATTTATTTAAAACGTTGAGAAAGTTTGATTTTCTTTTTTCTCACCCTAAACGATAAATTTTGACATTTATTACAGATTGCTGTTCATTTGCGTGAATAAAAAAAAGTTCCTTATTGTTTTTAAGCCTTCGAGTTCTCCCCGCTAATAATTCCTCTAATTGAAATTGGTTGTGTTAAGTTTGATCTTCAACGGTATCAATTGGGCAGCACTTCTTAGTTAAGTTTTTTTTTTTAATTTTTTTTTTTAATAAATATTTAACGGCTATTTTATGCACTATTTTTCATCATAAAAATCTCGCCGGAAATCGTTAAGACTCTTTTCTTTTTTTTTTAGTATAAATAGAACTATTGATTGGCCTTATCCGGAGTCAACGCAATACTTGCTTTGCATGCCTCGAGTAACTTCTGATGTAATGTAATTAGATTTGCTCCCACAACAAAATATTTTGAAAAAGAAAAAAAAAAAAAATTAGATATTCAAATTAACCAGATTTACTACACGTTTCAAAAAGTCTTTGTCTCTGATAGTTTAAATGAGCCTGATTGAAATTATTTTCTCTGAATTATTGAAGTTAAAATTATTTTTTTTACTCAGCTACTAACAGTCTTTTGTTCTGTGTACTTTTATCTTTTTTTGGGGGGAAAATGAAATTTATAAAAAGAAATAGCATAGGATATAATATTAATGAATTTAATTGAATATGAAAAGGTTAGAATAAATCATTAACAAATATTATATGCAAAATATTAGTTCATAATTTAGTATTTTTTATATAATCTTTTATATATTTTGTTAGTATAGGAAAGTCTGTAGTTGATTTGGAATACACATCCTGTTATTATCATTATTAATTACAAACCATATCTATATGATTAGATTATTATGGGGTAAAATTAGGAAATTTGCCTAGAAACCATATCTATTTGGTTAGGTCATTATAGGGCAAAATAAGGAAATTTTCCTAGAAACCATATCTACATGGTTAGGTTACTATAGAGCAAAATTAGGAAATTTTCATACTGGCCTGTGACCAGCTATAGTATTTGTATTTTCAACAATGACGGTTTTTAAAACAGGTTATCACTTTTTCAAAAATTGAAAATTTTAAACGATTAAAAAAAAAAAAAAAACTATTGGTGTTAATAATGTAAGGCATTTCTTTTGAATTATTTCTCAAAATATGGTAAATATGTCAAAGCTTTTAAATCAAGCATAAAATAAAGTAATTTTAGAATATTATAAAATTTTCATAATAATTCCATATTTATGATAAAATTATAAAATATTGCACATGGGGGGTGTATTTTTGAAGGAAAAAGTGGCTACTGGCAGACAATTGAATCTCCATTTAATATATATAGTTGCCCTGTGGCTGGTGACGACCATTAATTTTGCACAGTAGCGAGTTCTAGGAAGTCAGGGTACACAAATAGTCATTCCTGACTTCTTTTTTTTTAATACGAATTTTGTTTACAACACTCTTTCATCAGCATAGTTAGAGTACGTAATCTCATTTACATTTAGTGAGTCATGAGATTTAGTTGTTGGGATTGCATACGTTTTAAAACGCAACGCTTCTTTTTTTTTTTTTAATGCGAATTTTGTTTACAACACTCTTTTATCTGCATAATTAGAGTACATAATCTCATTTACATTTAGTGAGTCATGGGATTTAGTTGTTGGGATTGCATACCTTTTAAAACGCAAAATATTTTCAATTAACACAATCTTGAAATTTTAGTTCTCAAACATAATTATGTAATTAAATGTTAGGAAAACTTTCAAAATTATAATGGTGAGACAGTTGATTTTTTAAAATGCATGTAACTTAATATAAATTTCTTTTCTATTTTCAAACACACTAGTTCTTAAATGATTTCAATATTATCACAGTGCAGTATATCTGATTCCAGTTTTGTGTCACTAAACTCTACTTTCAGCTTAACTTAGTTGATTTCTAAGTCAAAAACCTTACAAATCTGAACACTTCGTCGATTTGAGGTATTTTGGGGAAGACGTGATGACTAGAAAATTAATTTTGAAAAACTCTATGTAGTTTGCCCCTTGGCAGAATTACGGCGACATTGTCGCCGAACGTTAAAGTTTTTGCGGAAAGATTTTTCATTTGGGAAGGGAAAATTTTTGGTTTTCCTTTCTGCAATTTTTTTTTTTTTTTTTTTTTTTTTTTTAAATCAAAAATGTCTTTCTTGCGCTTCAGAGAGGAAAGAAATAATCGTGATTTTTCTATTCTTTTTTGAGATTTAAAAAAAGGAAAGAAAAAAAATCTGTGGTGACTGGCTTTAGCTGGAATTTCAAATTAATAATGTGAAATAAAAATTTCAGAAATAACGCGAAAATTTAAAAGATAGTTCGCTCTAGAAATGGTGTTCTTTCTTTTACTTTTTTTCTTTAAAGCAGACCATGTTTTACATACATTTGTCAATCTCCATTTTGGAAGTTACTCCATGGATTTTACGATTTTTAATTTACATACAAATTTTGATTTATTATCGTTTAATTTATTTACGAATTTTAATTTGTGTAATGATTTGCAAAATTCGAAAGAGGAAATAATTAGTGTATTTTTCAACCTACAAAATTCGAGAATATTGCCTATAATATTAGAATTAAAAAAATATTACTTTTACAATTAAAATTTTTTATACATTTTAATTCTATACTCTCTACTGTAATCACAACGTTTCTGTTACTTTAAATTAATAATTGCTATATTTAAAGGTATCTTAAAGCAAAATATATATATTAGTGCTAGGGAAGTTTGTCACAGAAAGGCTGAAAAAATTCTGCCACAGGGGTAGTTTGTATGTTGTTACTGATCTATGTACTATGTTTATATACTAGTATTGTGGATATACTAGTACTATGTTTATATACTAGTATTGTAGATATACTAGTACTATGTTTATATGTTACTACTTGCTTTTTTTTTTTTTAACTCTACCATTTATCAAATTTATGACGAGTATTTAAATGAAATAGTGCTGTTTTAATGAGTTAAATTGCATTTTGTAAAATTATATTTATAGTTCCAATTTCAACCTCAAATAAACAGCCAATTTGTGTTAGAACTAAATGTAAAATTTTTGATGTGTCTATTCCTATATTCATTTTGATTATAATATCTTTTGCTTTGTTTATTTTCATTTTTATGTTTAATAAATGCTTTTCTTCACAGCAATTGAAAAAATTGACTGATAAGTTGAAGAATGATAATGATTATTCATGTTCATGTGCCTTAAAGGATGTCAATAGACCAAAGAATAGATATAAAGACATTGTACCATGTAAGTTAGCTTTGATTTCTTATGATGTTTATTTATATGAATTAACTATATTTTTTCATTTCAAAAAAGTTTAATTCAAATTTTTTAAAGTCAATTTTTTGTTCAAATTTTTTTATTTCAGTATATTATTTTTGTTATTTTAATAGGAAAACTTTGTTAGTTTATTATTTATTCTCTTTAATTATTATCACTTAAAAATATAAATGGGAAACTCTCTTTATTTAAATCGAATTTTAACTTTAATTAAGATATCTAAGATTACTAGTTTGCTTTAAGCAATTGATTTCAATCATTAAAATAAAAGGAGAAAAGAACACTCTTTAAGATAAGTTTTACTTTTAAAGGTATTTTGATCATTTGGACTTTAAAAAAAATCTTTTGACATACACTAAACTTCCAAAAATAAATAAATAAAAATAATTAATCTTTGCAAAGGATTAATAATAGCAAAATATGCAGTTGGCAAATATCAATCTTATTCTTGAATTTATCTATTTATCAAAATGCATAAGCCATTTTTTTCTTGCCAATGTATGTGGGAAATTATATTATATAGAGAGTTTAAAAAAGACTTGATTTTTTTTTCTGTATAATTTTACTTACTAATTATAATTCTTAAGGTGTTAATTTTTTAAAAAAAAAACATGGATGTTATTTGGCATAATAGTACTTACTAAATATAATTCTTAATGTGTTAATATTTATAATCTTTAACTTGAAAAAGCTTAAAAACAGTGAACCAACTTTGACCTTTTTGAAACGAGTGAAGTCGCGTAATAACATTACTTGTCCATAATTCTGTGGATTTACTCTGAAATATTCATTATTATGCTTTCTATATTAATCTTAAAGACTTCATTGCTCTGAAATGTCTAATAAATTCATCAATATAATGAAACATAATTGATTTAAATAAATGAAAATCTGAGTTAGGTTGAGACAAATTCTAATTTATTTAACATTTTCGCTTTTTATGTGCAAATTTTATTTCTTTTTAATCTATACTTTTTTTGCTAAATGAGTTGTGGTTTTAATTTTTTTAGATGACAAGTCACGAGTCATTCTTCCAAAAAGTGAAGGTATTCCTGGGTCAGATTATATAAATGCCAGTCATATAAAGGTACATTGATTTTTTTATTTTTATTTTTTAAATTAAGTTTTGTTTTTGGTTAAATAAAACATCTAGAAATCGTTAATTATTTTTGATATTTTGCTCCAAATGTATGACATCATTATACTTTTGAAAAAAAATATCAAAGCACATAACATAATCTTAAATTGTTGGTGGTGTTAAAAAATTTCCTATTATAGAAAAATGTCTCCATATGCAATCACATTATCCATATTTGTTTATTTATTTATCTTTATGTGTTTGCATTGTATTTCTTTAACGCAGAATGCATTTGCTTTAAGGAATGAATTTTTTTTTTTCCTTTCTCAATAGTAACAGCTCTAAATAATAATTTTATTAGTTAATAACTGGTTAACAGTAAAAAAAAATATTAGCCTGCTTCAAACTAAATTTTATAAAAAGAAGTTAAATAAATAAAATAATTTCAAGGTTACCCAGGTAACACAATCCTATGTTATGGCTTTCTTATGAAGAATGTTTTGTGTGTGATAGTATAATAATATAATATTTCAATTGCTTAAAGTCAAATAATAAATCTGAAGAAAATGCTTAAAAAAGTTTTTATTGAGTATAGTGCTAATAGGATACAAGTTTCTGATATTTCGTTAAATCAAAATGTGTTGCCAGTATTTATTTCTTAAATTTATTTGAAAATATCATAATTTAGAAATTTAGTGCGGAAATTTAAATGCTAGAAGCAATAAATAGAACAAAAGAGTGTGTCAAAAAGTTTAATAGTAAGTTGATACAAACAAGTAACATAAAATGTTTATTTTAATTACTTTTTAATAAATAATTGCAATATAAAACTAAAATTAATTCATTAAATTTAATTAATGAACTAATATTTGAAAAAACTGAATTAACATCAAGTGTCATCCACTATAAGTTTAAAAAAATATATTTGAACTTGAGTGTATGAATAAAAATTATTTTATTAACGATTGAAAATTTGAACAAGATATAGGGAGAATGTGAACTAATAGTAGGAATTGAACAAGATATAGGGAGTATTTGATGTTTTACATACATTTGTCAAT